ATCAAGAAACTGTTACACAATTAGTATCATCGCTAAAGACAAACTTCTTTCCAAACCTTACAATACCAATGAACCGTAGTATGAGCAAAATATTATTGTTGTAATCATATTGTGTTTTTTTTTTGTCCTAATCCAAATAAGTTAAATTAGACACATTATTATATTGTAATATTACTATGATCTTTTTGTATTTTTATATTTGATCAAGATAATCCAATGACATTCTGAATTAAATAGTATATTATCTTGTTGTATTCTTTTTTGTTTTAAGCAAAACTCAATTTTTTTGCTAATTGAAAACTCAGTGACAAGTGACAACCAAATAAATATACCGGTCAAATTCTCAAATGTGAAAATATTATCAGGTTTTTTAGTCAATTTTTGTTTAGAAAATATACTAAACTTTATCAAAATTGAAATCAGAGTTTGACGATCTTTCTAAGAATAACCCTTATATTATATCATTTATTTAACAGATCTTTTATTTATAATCATTAAAATGATTAAAATCAATATTCTATTTAACAAAACAATTGTTTTTTCTTAATAAAATTATCACCTATTTTCCAAATGATGAATCGAAAAATTCCCCGAAACTAAGAAATCAAGTTATTAACTATTAGGCTCAATAGTGTACTACCTCCACATACTATTGTGGGCTTAGGTGGACACTACGGTGTTCGATGAACACCACACCCACCGGTAGTGAGTAATTAAATTTGTTTTTTTTTCACAATAAATAAACAACATACCTTCCATCTTATACCACAATACAAATGCCCAAAACCTCTATATTATCTATATATCAAATTCAAAATGTATTCGTCATCTTCCACTATGTTGGTTACGTTGGCTTTGCAGGAATAAAAGTTTATAAGGAACGTTATGCAAACAACACTCGCTTATCTATAAGACAATGAAGTCGAAAGTTCTTGTTCAAAAACCAAAAAAGGTCCTTTACAGAGAAATTGTGTGGCTGGACAGAACCACCTTGTAAAAGACTATTTTGCTTATGATGTTGTCTACATTTAAAAATTTAGACGTGGATTCCGATCCCGGATATGGAAAAAATTATTCCTACGCATTGTTGATGACGTGAAGAATCTATTTTCATATTTTCCACTGAATTGGGATGTGAGAAGCAGGAAATGTTTCTCTAGAATTCAAAAATGTACAAGGCCAATGCATCAACTAGCATTCAACATGGAAGCATACTCATGGGATGAGTATTTGAGGATTTTAGATTGAATGACACATAAATGTATTTACAAGTTTGCTAAAGTCGTAATTATTCTTGACCAATATTTGTGCAAACCTACAGTTAATGATATCCATCAATTGTATACGACACATGAAAACACAATGCATGTGCATGTGCCTAATTCGTGGCGTTGTCAATTCATACGGGGTGATTAATAATTTTAAAGGTAGTGGTGCCATATGATCTTTTGATATGACATGCCTTTTTGGTGAATCAGGCGCAACAACAACATCAATGTTCTAGAACATCGACTAGACCATTGGGTGCCAACGACATATTCCTAGAATATGAACAAGATGCGATAACGAGTTAAGCAACAAGTACAAAATTTTAGTCTCGCCCCAAAAGGTTCCCAAAATACAAAATACAATAAGAACTTTTTGATGAAAATACCCTCAAGTAATTTGCCACAGCCTCTTGTTAGTCTTCCCGCTATGGCACTTGTCACCCGTCACTGTCTTAGGGAGTCGTTCCCACTGAACCCACTGCCACATCAACTTTTCTCTTTGATTTTTCTTCATCTTTCCCAACCCACAATACACGGAAATCCTATCTTTCTCAACCCACTCAATTAAAAAAAAATATTAAACAACTAAGGTACAAGTATTAAAATACATGGTACAAGAGAAATTGAGAGAGAGAAAGTAGAGAGAGGATGAAGTGGTACAAGAAAAATACTAAACAATCCGTTGAAGAGCGAGTGGTACCGGCGGTAACTTTATTGCTAATTAAGATTTTACCTTAATTGTTTAACATTTTTTTTAATTGAGTGGGTTGAGAAAGATAGGATTTCCGTGTGTTATGGGTTTTGGGAAAGATGAAGAAAAATCAATGAGAAAAGCTGATGCAGTGGGTTCAGTAAGTTCGACTCCCTCCTCCCTTAAAAAAGGGCAAGAATGTCAAAATAAAAAGTTTTTTATACAAAATACTACATTTTTTTAGGTTATATATATAAAGGAAATTATATATTAAATCTGATTAATATATAAAACAAAATTAAAAACTGATATATGCGAGTAAAATGTATCATAGAAAACCAACTTTAAAGGGTCAAGTGTATATATGAATCGGTGGGAGACTTGGTGGGGGCATAACCCCATTTTTTTGGGGAAGAACCGAAAGTAACCCATATTTGCAAATTGTCCTCACCATGTAAACTAAACACACTCGTACAAAACAAGATATTCGATTTCTGTTTTTAATATGAAAATTATTCCAAGGGAGTTTTATTTCCATCGAGTATTACATCAACACTCCTTATTTTTAAAATTTAAACCAAAAAACCAGCTACTTTCAGACTTCAGGATCTCAACCTCACCCATTCATCAATTAACTCGTGTAATGACCTCCTCCAGTGGCATGGCCACCACCTCCGGCGGCATGCTCCACCCTGTCTCTGATCTCTCGACCCTTAGAACCCAACTTGTGCGCGGCCTGATCCAATGAGTCCGCCCCCGTCGGATGTTCACCGGTCACGTACTTGTACATCCACGACAACACAGTCGCAGCCGCAATACCAAATCCTCCGGACGTCAAAAACCCGGTAGCCAACAGAAACACGGTAATCATCGCCGGCACCAGTACCGGACTAAATATTACCAGTAGTGGAGTAGCCACTGTAAGTGCAATTACCGTCCCGGCAAGCGTCAGACCTGCGAGAACGAGGAGTGAGCCACCGGCGGTTGCTGCAGTGACCGCTTTCACCGCCTGGTTCGCCCACGGGGAATCGGACTGCTGCTGCCGGTAATGCTGCATCATCCCACTCCCACGACCTTCACGGTGAAAAGTATCTGCCATTTTGCGGTGGTGGAGATAAACTAAACGATATTGTATGAATAAGAGGGAACTAGTAGTCGATTGCGATTGTCTTTTTGAGATGAGTAGGAGGAAGTGGAGAGTTATACCTTATAAACAGAGGAGGAGGTGGCGGTGGTGTGGCACGTGTTGGAAGTATGGTGTCACGTATGCGAGAACTGATTGTCATTTTGTGGTTGCATGCTTTAAATGGAGACACGTGTTTTTTGCACGATTAAGATTTCGCTTATCGGTTCCTCGTATTTGGGCCTCGGTTTATAAAGCAAATGTATCACCAACAATTTTGGGCCATGGCCTTATAAAAGAATAAATGATTAACAGCTAATATAGGCCTTGTTAAATAAAAAAAAAAAAAAACATCATAAATGGTCCATGTGGTTACCCAAAATCTGAAGTTTAGTTCCCGTGGTTTAAAAACCTCATAGATGGTCCCTGTGTTTTCAAAACTTTTGATGTTTGGTCGTTTTTACTAACTCCGTTAGTTTTCTACCGTTAAATGAAGGGTATTTCCGTCATTTAACTATCCAAGGACCTTTTATGAGGTTTTCTTTTATTTTATTTTTTAAAAAGAAAAAAATAATTAAATTTAATATCCAATGGGTCTCTCTCTCTCTCTCTCTCTCTCTCTCGTGTCGTCTTCTTCCACATGCACCCCAATCCGTCTCCACTTCCTTTCTTCCTAGATGCAACAATCTCTCTACCCAATTGTGATCCCTAACCTTTAAAGCTTCGTCTTCCACCTAATCCTCTAAAAAAGAAACCCACCTTCTTCGTCTTCTCCATCAAGGTCTGCTACCAGGCTCCGGCAAGTGAGATCGAGGTGTCAATGGCGGTTGCCCATCGATCACCGCTGTATGACCAAATCCACGCCGTTGAGCGCCGATCAGATCATACAAGTCAATGATTTCACTTTCCCTTTTTTCAGGAATCATAACAATCAACAACTTGTATGATCGAACACAAAAG